CCAAGTGAAACGTGTGAAGTCATCAACTATAACCAAAATGTACTTTTTGTGATGAAGACTGGCTACGGTAGATGGACCATAGAGATCAATGTGAAGTAGCTCTAATAGTTCAGCAATTGAAGAATCAATAACCAGTGGATGGCTTCCCTTTTTTTGCTTTCCACACTCACAAGTTGGGCAACATGTTTCAATGTTGTATTTTAGAATGGGGAGGCCACGGACAAGTTCTTCGGTGACCAAGTTGTTGATATACCGGAAGTTCAGATGAGCTACCTTGCGGTGCCATAACCAACTAACTTTAGATACTGCTTTGGATAGAAAACACAACTGCAGTTTGCGAATGATCAATGAGACATCCAAAGGATACATTGTTCCTTTGGATTTGGATTTGATCAAGCAGGCGCTTCTATCACTTGTCATTATGTAGCAATATTCATTATCAAATTCGACCCGATGACCTGCTTTACATAGTTGACCTACACTGATCAAGTTATGCTTGAGGCCTTCCACGTAAGTAACCTTTTGAATTGAGAAATTTCCCATGGTTAATACCTGTAACCCCTGATGAATCCATTTGCATTGTTCCCGAACATGATGTGTCCACCGTTACAAATAGGCATGAAGTCGCGAAGGTATTCTAACCTTCCGGTCATGTGCAAGGAGCAAGCACTATCAATTAACCACCCCTCTTCTTGTTCCTCCTTGCACATTGCCTGAAAAATTAAACGGTTAGTTTGGGCACCCAAACAAGTTTGGAGCCAGGAGTCACATGAGAAACTTTCTTACTAGATGCATGCACGTTAGTTGTAGGAACAGTTTTTGTGTCAGTTTGTAGACCTAGTCCTGGGTGTTTGGTAACTTTTGGGATGTTACGAGGTTGGATGGGACATAACGTTTTAAGTGGATAAAATCCAAAAGAAAGATTTTTCTCGTTTACCCAGACACCATATTTGGTCAACGGTCCGGAGGATGTAGTTTGAGTCTTGAGCCCGGTCTGTGAGTGGTGTTTGGCTGCAGTGCCTTTGGAATTTGAAAAAGTTTTTGTACATGAATTACTCCTAGGTTTTGACCTAACAACTGATTGAAGTGATTTTGAAGGTTCAAGAGTTGGTAAAATACCTTTCCACTTTGGACCGTTTAAGGAATATTTTTGAAAAGAATACCTTTGAAAAGATGTGACTTTCTTTTGGGATTTTGCAGGAGTGTTTGAAAAGGTTTTTAGCACTGTACATTCCTTTTTGTCTGATCCTTTGACTGCCGTGTTTTTTGAAAGATTTTTGGCAGTGGTGGGTTTTTCTAAGTTCTTTTGATTTGAAACCTTAGCATGTTTGAAATTGTTTTTTGCATTCAGTATCCCACTTTTTGCCTCGGGACCTGAGTTCCTCTTTGAAAGCCAATTTTCTTGAGTTTTTGGAGAACCGCAGTCAGAAATGTTCAACTGCAGTTTCTTGAAAACCTTTGACTGTTTTGAAAATCGAGGACTTGGGTCATCTGAACTAGAGAGTTTAGGACTTTGTGAACATTGACCATATTCAAAATTTTCAATTGGTAATTCGTGAAGGATGGGCTGAATGGTCACTATGCTTTTGACTGTGGTCTGCGGTGCGGATGACTGGACAACCGTAGAGTATGTCAAAGATGGTTCACTATTAGGACATTTTATGGAAGGCAAGGATGAACAATTTACAACTGATTCTGGTCCTTCCACAATAATTTCTTCATCTTCATCCGAAGAAGACTGAGAATTGGGACAAATTGTACCAATGATGGGTATTTGATCACTTGGATATCTAGAGGATTCAGGAAGAATTTCCTCGATGACACAATTGTTACTCAGTTCATGAAGTTGACCAAAGTGACATCTTATGTCTTCAGGAAAGGTTTTATCATTAACTGGATAATGAAACTTACGATCCGGTGGGACATATGGTCGATCAGCATTGAATCGGGGAGTTGAGTTCTCATTGGTTGAGTACCCATTAGACCATTCCCAGTTATAGGTGTTGTCCACAGTTCCATTGTTAACTAAGTTTTCAATTGCTTCAGATTCATTAAAAAGCTTTTCTATTAATTGATTCAAACGTATATTTTCTTTCTGGGCTAAATCCCTTTGATTTAAAGCAATATCTAACTGAGTTTCATTCAACATCCTAACATCTTTTTCTAACAACAAATCCTTTTCTAGCATAGTAACCTTAAGTCTCTTATCCTCAAGTCTTTCTCTCACATGATATAGTTCTTGGGACGCTATATTCTTTTCATCTAGAGCCTTGTTGTAGTCTGAAAGGACGGCAACACACGTGTCATTAAGTCTTTCTAGGTATGATTCACAATCATGCATGTTGAAATTATTAGAATGGATCATGATTTTTACCTGCTCGACGATGCTGGGGGCGCCATATTTGGCCATGTAGCAATAGTTTCTTTCCAGCTTCGTCGATTCGTCCTCTTCAGCAGCTGCAACCATGCATATCTTCCCTTTTCCTTTGATGTTGTCAAAGTCTTCATCCTCATCTCCGGATGACCACACTTGATGATCTCTTTTCACAGGAGCAACATATGCTCTTGCCTTTTCTTTCTCTTCCATTTCTTGGGCCGTTCTAAGATAGAATGCCTTGTCCTTAACCACATTTTCTTTGCAATCTTTGGCAAAGTGATTCTCTTTATGACATTTGTGACAGATGATGACGTCATATTTCTCTTCAATTGAGGTACCGAAGTCTGATGGTTTATTGGACTGCGGTGCCTCTTTGGAATGATGTGCATTCTGTGGTTGCGGTGGATGATGAGGTTTTCGAGGATATCATGAGTGGTTAGACTGTGAATTGAAGTTGCGGTTGAATGGTGGTTTGGTAAACTGCTGATTTTTGCGAAATGAGGTTGGTGGTAGGCGATTGAATTGTTGACTAACCAGGACAATGGCATTTTGGAATTCTTCTTCATCGTCCATTTTAGCATCTGCTTCATATAACTACGGTGGGTTGTCATATGAAAGTGGATAAGATGGTTCAGTAGAATATGAGTACTGAGAGGTTTTGACTTGTGGAGTTTGATCTATTAGGGTAAGTGGCCCACTGAGATCAACACAGTCTTTCAGCACCGTTGATTCTTGTGCCTGAAGTTCTCCGTACAGTTTGAACAAAGACAAAGTATGAATCTTTCTATGTCCTTGCACAATCATATTTGCGGTAGACCAATGTCTTCCCAAACCATTAAGAAACCGTAGATTTGTTTCATGATTGCTTCGAACTGTACCAACATTTGATAACTTTGTGATGATGAGATTAAATCGTTTGAACGAGTTGTCAAGACTTTCACCAGGAAGAGCTTTAAAGTTGTTAAACTCATTGAGAGCAGTGATGAGTTTCTTATCCTGAGCTTGTTCAGAACCTTGATAGAGATTTTTGAGCACGTCCCAAATCTCCTTAGCAGATTTGCAATTGATGATGATATCAAAGTTGTCTGGAGCTATACTGCAAGAGAATTCATAGAAGGCTATAGCATAATTTTCCATTTTGTCAAGATCATCTTTGGTTGGTCGATTCATTGCAGCTTGACCTCCACCCAGTCGTTCTTGAGCACCATCTGCTTGAACAAGAGTAAGAACAGGGACATGTGGTCCTTCTTCCATTGGTCTCCACACATCTCTTCCGAGCCTCTTAAGATACCTTTCCATTCTTTGTGACCAATGATGGCATTCATTTGCAACAAGTATTGGTGCTCTCTTCGAGCCTCCAACACTGTTGGAAACGTTCAATGATAAAGCTTGTGCCATATTTCCTTTGTTTTTTTTTTGATTTTTTTTAAGAATGAGCTTTAGTGGTATAGAAGGCTTTTCAAAATCAGAGTTTTGTTTAAAAACCAACCACTTTGGCTCTGATACCAATTGTTGAGTGAAAAACTTTGGGAGAACACTTGAACAAACGTTAGTACAAGATAATGGTTGCGGAATAAATTAATCTCAAAGGATCATGTAAGCTCAACAATAATAAATTAGAGTTGTTAGATAGTTAGTTGCGGAAATATAAAGTGCTGAAATGTAAAGGAAATGTAAATGACAACAAGTTATATCAAGTATATACCAAACTGATTCATAACAAGGTTTGCATCCAAACACAAGTTAGTATATGTGATCAGTTTAAGGTGAAGAGGATATTCGAAGATAATAAGAAAGATAGAGATATGAAAATGATCTTAGTATTTCAGAGTGAAAGTTCAGAAAGATCGATAAGATATATGATAAGAAGTGGTGGAGAGATGTATTTTTACGCGAAGACCGAGACTCTATTTATAGAATTCCATAAAGTTACATCTTGAATAAACAGTAATAAACTATTGACTCTAAGTGACCATGCAAGTTTCACTGGACAATGCAATGCTAATACGCTAAGTCACTTGATGTAACAAAAAAAGTCTTCACTGTAGTAGAGAGGTTGCGGTTCAACTCCGGATCAAACATCTGTTGCGGTGGCAAGACTGATTGCGGTAGCCAAAAGAGATACGGTAGCAAAATGGAACTGCGGATCGTTAAGTTTAAGAGGGTCACTTTTTGTTTTAACAAATATACTTGTCTTTATTTGTGTTTTATAATATCCAAATTCCTACTTCCGTTTCTTTCCATTACAACATTTTACTTTCATATTTGTTTTTCAAGGGGTATTGTACTTCAAAATTTCGACATAACAATAACATTCTACTTCCAGTTTTTTTCTCATTAGAGTATTATACTTTGTAAAATCACCCTATTTTACTTGTGAAACATGTTTTCTATGTGAATTGCATTATGTGTTAATCGATTGCTATTCTTTTTATTTTATTGTATTTAAATGTTTTTTTATTCATATGTTATTTATTTGGGCAAATTTGTCAATGTTAAATGTATGATAACAAATTACATATGATATAAAACAAAATAAAATTAATATTATGATATAAAACAAAATAAAATTAATATTTTTTTTATTACTTACTTTAACCTCAAACCAATGTTTAATGATTCCAAAGCATCGCCAAACGCAAAGCAAGTACCCGCTCCCGTTCCCATCTACGTTCCTGTTCCCATTCCCATTCCAATTTCCGTTCAAACTTTCACCGATCGTCGAGACACTATCACAGCAGTGAGCATTGATTGACAGGAGTCGAGTAGATGGCAACAACATCTAAATGGAGAAGACGACGTGGCGGTGGCGCACAGTCGCTCGATCGAAATCTGAGTCGGAGAATCAGAGGATTCCTGTCCAGGAGGTTTATCTTCAGATCCGTTCTCGTATTTCTCGCAGTCATCGCCATCCTCCCCCCTGTTTATTTCCACTTCAAACTTCGACGTATCCATCAGGTTTTGAGTTTTTTTCTTGCATTTTACGGAGCCCTCTTAATACCAATAACATTCTATTTCGCAAATGCTTTCATGATCTTATTCTCTTCTTATTGCATGTGAAAAGTGTAATTTTCGACTCTAATTTGCTCTAAATATGTTATTATTTTGAGTTAACATATTTGCAGCAACCTCAATTACAAGTTTGTCTTTGGTCAGTGCTAATTTAAAATGAAAAATAAAAAGCTTGAAGTTCGTTTTGGAATGGAAGGACTGATATTTTAATTCTCCTAATGTTATGGTAAACGATGCCCCTTTTGTTTCAATTCAACAGGTACTTTGACCTTTTAATATCGACCTGCTAATTCTAGCTTCAGAAACATTATCCTATGTTTAAATTTGTGAGAAACACCAAATAACAAGATAAACATTTTATGCAAGACTAGTTGTGTTGAGCCTGAAAATTCTATTAACAATTTTAAATTGCAAAAGTACTAAGATACCTCTTTCCCAGGCATGGAGTGAGTATATTTTCTGCTACAGACATTAAGCTTCTGAAATATGCCAAACCTGATGTGCATGTTTGTATACATATGATATGAAAGGTGTTATACTTATTAGTTTATAATGTATTTCCTATGCATATATCTTTATATATTTTTTGCATTCATATTTCACACTTGTAATTCTGTTTTACCACTTTTTTAAAGAGTTGATAACTTTGAAGAATGATGATCAAATTTAACAAAAAATGTGCTCATTGGATGGTTGTTTGTCCATGTATTTGCAGGCACAGTTAAAAAAGTGCAGTTGGTTAAATAAACCTCCCCTTGTGTGTGCTCATGGTGGTGATTCCTCAAAGGCCTTTCCTAATACAGTATATATCTAATCTTTGTAAACTACCAAATATTTCATGAGTTCCTTTTCTTTTTGCTACTTGTAAACATGCATATATGTAATATATCTGATCTTAATTTGATTTGATAGGCATGACAGAGTAATAATTAAATTAGGGTAAAGCTGTGTTACTGATGTATGTTTTTTTTTTGTTTTTTTTATTGAACAGATGGATGCTTATCGTATTGCTATTCGTTCTCAAGTAGACTGCATTGAGATTGATGTTTCTCGTTCAGCTGATGGGGTTTTATTTGCTCTTCATGATAGGTAGATGTTTATGTTGCATTGCTTACAAGATGGAATCCATGATTATATTTTTAAATAATTGGTTTGTTTTGTTAATTATTAGTAGAGTTGAGTCTAATATGAAACAGGCAGGGATTTGCAGCGAATTTCTGGGAACACTTCATCCATGGTTGGACACCTGAGTGCAAAGGAGGTGAGGTTTCTTGCAAAATTTTAAAACAATGGAACAAAAAATACAAAATTTTCAGATCATGGAAAGAAAATGAAAGTTGGGTGTTGATAAAAAGTTTGAGGTTCTTAGGTGGAACAAGTGTGAAATTTGGTTACAATTTGATGAAATATATTTATTTTTTCAAGTGTAATAATTACTGGAAGTTTTGCGTTGAATGAGAGTATATTTTAGTTTGTTACTGCAGATAAAAGAGTTGGGTGCCACTCATGAGACAACCATCCCTACAATGGAAGATGCACTAAAGGTACATTCAATTCCATTCTTCCTTTTTGATTAAAAGACCAAAATACCCTCACTATATTTTGTGTATCTATTCGAATAAAAAATAAAATAAAATAAATAGTTCAGTTTTATATACTTACAATAAACGAAAAAAAAACATTTAGATATAAATTATTGAACTTTTACTCCATTAAATGATTCCTTGACAGATTGAGTTCCTCTAAAAAACATTCTGCGAAATGTTATTTCCCTCCAATTACAGAACAGAAGACACTATTGTTTAAACGAAAGTAAATGACAATAAGTTGTTATTATTAAAATTTTAAAGTGTATGCATAATGTTAGCATGTGGTGTTTTGTTTCAGTTTATATCAAGTTCCGTTCAGAAGGTGGTTGTTGATGCCAAAGTTGGGCCTCCATCATATGAGAAGGGGCTTGCAGCCGATATACTTTCTGTTGTAAGCCTATATTTATTTATCTTTGCAAATATTTCTTATAAAACTATATCATATCATATGTGCTAAGTAAGTAACTCAGACAATCTATAATTGCAGCTGAAGAGGACACAATGTAACAACTGCCTTGTATGGGCAAAAAGCGACAATTTAGTGAGAGATGTAAATAAACAGTCACAGGATGTGCCGGTAAGATCCTATATATATATATATATATATATATATATATATATATATATTTTGCCCTGTTTTTGCGACATCTAGTTTATAATATTAAAGTTGATGCTGATTTCCAAACTTACTGATATTTTTTTGTTCTTCTATCCTGAATCAACCACCAAACTCAATGTAATTATAAAATATATATAGGACATAATTTCATCATCGTATTAAATTTTTTGGGTTAAATAGATGTATGTGTAAATTACAGTTTTCGTCTTCATGTTTATTGATTTTTACGGATATGGTCCAATAGTTTGATTTTAACTTGCGTGTTTTTCCAAGGGAACATAGTTTTGTCACACTTGAGTCCTTGACTTTGCTACCATTAAATGCATGTGAAATGATCATTTTGCCCAAGTATATTTTTTTATTGCCTTTTGCATAAGATGATAAGAAATGGGTCCCTTATAGGTGGGGTACATTGTTATGATGAACTTTTCTTCGGGAACAAGAACAAACTTATTGAGGATGAGAGATGCTCAAGTTGTGGGCATTTTCCATGGTCTAGTTGATGAGGCAGTTGTTAAAATCCTGCACAGGTATATATATGTATTCATTCTTTTCTTACATTTTATGTTATGCTTCAATTCAATTCTTGTTTATGCAACCAAGATGTTGTTAGACCAAGTATATTCTTACTACAACATGGTAGCTCCATTTTTTTTCCTCGTTAAAGCGTTGTATTTTGAAAAATCTACCCAATTATAGCACTCTACTTTCATTTTTTATTTTTCCTATTAAGACATTCTACTTTAAAAAATCTACTCAATTGTTGTGAAAGTTGCTTTGTATTTGGATGATATAGAAATAGGCTATAGCAGGGTTGATTTTTTGTAGTACAGCTTTCATAGGAATAGGGTATTTTTTGCAATTTATAACCTGTTTAATGATACAATTTGACAGGAGGAATAAGAAAGTTTATGCATGGACTGTTGATGATGAAGCAGCAATGCATAAAATGTTAAATGAAAATGTGGATGCCATAATCACGAGTCATCCAACTTTGCTTCAAACTTCCATGCGCGATATAAGAAAAAAATGCCTTATTGATGGTTATTCTTTGGGATCATGAGTATTAAACTAGACTAGATACTTAGATATTACCACTTAGTTGTTAATCAGGATATCTTGATCGCGTATTTGTTACTAGTATTTTTTAGGCAAAGAAAGTGGAAGCATTGTCTTGATTGACTTAATACGAAATGAAATTCTTATTTTTTATTATCCAGGTTCGATAAATTTAAAAGACATGTATAAATTCACTAGCATGTCAAACTTTGTATTTTTTTTTTAAACAAGGGTAAATACATTTCAAGTTGAGTTGACACGGTAAATTTTTGTCCTGATATAAACTTTTAGTAAACAATTTGTGTTATATATAGGGCTGTTCATCTCTAAATATTATTAAAAGAGAACCTTAAAATCTAAATTGAAGAAATCAGGACCATTCATTTTATTTCACTCCTGTTTCTCCACCATTGGATATTTTTGATGACATCATCGTCGAATAAACAAGCGCCTCAAATTGCAACAACTCTTACGTTTCATACCCAATTTCATTCCTCACTTTTCTCTGCACACAATCAGCCACCGTCAAAGGCTCTCAAAGCATATATTCTATGTCTCTCATTTATCTCTTGAGTCTGTCAATACGACCTACAAGAAGGTAACTGATCATCCTTTCTAATCTCTGTTTTTGGTTTTCGATCATAGATACACATCGTGGTTTTGAATTTTTTTGGTGTTTTGAGTCTGTCAATACCGATTTCCATCTCTTTTGTTCTAAACCTTAATCCATTCCTTCAATCTATACCAAAAAACGTAACCCTATCGAATCAATCCTATGTGTTATCATCGAATCGATACCAGAAATCGGTACCTCCATCTCTTTTCTGTAAGGACATCTGCGCTCTGTGAAACTGATTCTCCTCCCCCTTTTGAATTCCCTAGATTCGGATGAATGGAAATACT